GCAGCTTGCTGCATAGCATTTATTCACGTCAACTTCGCCCTGTCTACTTGTATAATGTCGACTCGGAGGCCGGCCGCAATCACGAGGAAGCATCACGAGAGCGTCTGCTGCACGTATGGTCCAGTGGACAGTATACTCGCTAGTCGATCACACATACTAAAGATCGCGATTGATGTTATCGCAAAAACCACGTGCATTGTACCACTATATGCTTGGAGTGCCATCCGGAACGGGGAGCTGTTGGGTCACTCGACAACGGACCAGGTGCATCTTTTCATGAGCATGTACGAGACCACTGCAGCGTTCGGCATCTGATTTCTGGGGCGGTTGATCTGGAGCGTTTGAGTTGCATCTGATTTGAAACATGTGGCACGGCCACAATTGCACAACATCGCAAGCGCCAGGAATCCATGTCCAGTCGACAACATCGATTTACTCGAAGACGTCGTCGAGGACCCGGCTACAGCGCACGATAACACAGGAGGATGCGCCGAGTATTTTCGTTTTTTCAAAGCGTGCAGCTCGCCGTCGACACTCGGCACGCTCGATGCAGCCTTGAGAGGGTACTGTAGTTGTCGCTTTTGTGTGGCAGTAATGCGTCGACAGAAGGTGTAAACGTCGAGCAACGACAAAGCATCTCAACCACTATCAATATTAGATTCTACAATACATGTATTTAAAGAAATATTTGACAACCTACAAGATATTTTGAGTACCACAATATATAGAGGATAGAGTATTTGAGAGGTATCCCGACCAGAATTGCCACAGTGGCTTCAACTCAGATGTGGGCAAACTCAGTATCAGATCCCCAATGTACTTTCTACCATAGCGTACCGGAACGACTGCTCCCGCGATTACAGGCGAGGCCACCGCTCGTGGGCTTGCTCTGCGAAATCTCACCCACTCTGTAGGAGCGGTTGCATGACCATATATAGCCAAGCGCATGCTTCGACAAGGCAGCGAGAGAGGCTTGCTCTTGCATCGATGACGTCGCTCAGCGCGTGCTGTCGACTAAGGAAGCCAAAGTTATCTTCGTGTCGCTCCAGTTTGAGTTCGACACGTCATGCTTTGGGGCTTGAGAGAAGGAAGGACATATGTGTATACTGGTGCGCTTGTGGTCAAGAATACTAGTAGTCCTTTAACGATGACCCAGCACGGAGCAAAGGACTGACACCGTACGTCCGTAGCTCGAGTTGCTCTGGCGAGCGCTTACGACGACAATTGCGCTCAAACAAAGGGTGTATGCGAGAAGGACATCATTCAGAGCCAAGGAAGGAGACTCTGGGCAATCTCGGTGCAGATGTCGAGTTCGACTAGTTGTTTCAAGCGTGTGCCAGTAGGTACGCTAGTAGACGCGAGAGAAGCGACTGGTTTGAGATCTACTAGGTTCGCCGTGGCGTTGCTCCAGTACATATTGAATACGTGATGGCGGGGTCGCTTGAAAAAGATATTTCTATATACTAAGTGAACACGCGCTCATGACCCGGTGTGGTGCTGGGCCAACATCAAGTGCTTCCGCAGCTCCGCTTCGAACTCTTGAGGCGGCCGGGGCACAGCCACGACGCTCAAGCGTCCATTGCCCCAGACGTATCGGAACGACGAGTACGGCGGTGGCACGGCAGGAGAAGGTTCGCACAAGCAACGCACGACGCTGGCGGCACGTCTGGCGGCGCGTCTGGCGACTTGAGCAGGACGAGGTTTCGACCGGTCCACAGCACTGTCGTTTGCACGCATTTCATTGGCGACCGTATTCGCCGCCGGCAACAGCTCGTCGACCACCGGCCCCGTCTGCGATGCCTCAGCAGCATCAGCAATAGCATCGTTCGGGGTCGAGCGTGGCGCGTCCGCGACGGCGACTTCCGCGACCGGCGCCGGTTCGCTGGTCGCAGGTGCGGTCGGTTCGGGTGCTACTGCATCCGACACGCTGTCGGAGGGACGAGGTGCTTGGTTGTGGGCGGTACGCTCGTCGACTTGGTCCAGCTCGTTCTCTTTGACACTTGGCAGTGGTGCACTCGCTTGGCTCTCCTTCTCGGTGCTTTGTGTCGGCTCTGTCATGGGTTGCGTGTGCCAGAGGTCGTTGTCCATGGCGGCACCGACGCCTTCGACATCCGAGTCGGGCGACGAGACAGTCGCTTGGCTATCGGCGTCGTCGGCGGTCTCTTGGCTGTTGAAATACTGCGTCTGCGGACCGGCAAAGTCCATCACAAGCAAGTCTCGTCCTGCCTCGCGGCTTGGCGGCGCTTCTTGCGCTTGCGCTTGGCGACGCGGCGACGCCGGTGGCATTTGCGTCTCGTCGTCGTCGTCGTCGTCGACAAGCGAAATGGACTGCTGCGCGTCGGCTTTGGGCCAACGCACCGACTCGGCGGCTTGCGTTTGTGGCGCGACACTGTCCTCGTCGTCGTCATCCTCAATGTCATCTTGGGTCAAGTCGATGCACGCGATGGCGTCGTCTTCTTGACTCCCGAGAGTGCGCACATGCGCCGTGTTCGCTTTGATCGGCGATGGTTTCGACGGGAGGCGAGAGAGCACGTCGGAGAGCGACGGCGACGCCGGAGCGGAAACCTCGCGCATGCGCGGCGGCAAGCGCGAAAGGACCTCGGGGATGGTCGACGCTGTACTCCGTGTCGGTGGGCTTGGTGGCATCGTGAGCCGCGTCTTGGCGTCATTGGCCGACGACGCAGACGCGGTCATGTTGAGAATCGAGCTGATCGAGTGGCTCGCAGGACGCGACGGTGGGAACACAAACCCAGGCGCGCTGGACGTTTGGCGCGGCACAGGTGACGCCGCCATGCCGTGGGTGATATGGCGGACGGTGTGCGGCGACGACGGCGTCGCCTGTGACGAAGCTCGCTTTGGCGACGGCGACTCTGCTGCTGGTGACGCGGCTCGCTTCCGGCGCTGCGGCAACAGCGGCGACTCTGCTGCTGGTGACGCGGCTCGCTTCCGGCGCTGCGGCAACAGCGGCGAGGAGGTCTCGGGAAGACGGACGGTATCTGGGGCGTTGTCGGCGCGCCGCACAGGGCTGGATTCGAGAGGCGAGACAGAGGGCGCGGGTCGGGAGCTTGCGGCGTTGTTGGCGGCGGGGGCTACGGTGCGTGTGGCGACGGATTGCGTCGTGACCGGTCCTTGTGCGACGTGCGTAGTTGTCGGTACTGCTGGTGAGGCAGGCGTCGAAACGCGTGGCGCAGCGGGTGGTGGTGCTTTTTGGTCGGCTGCTTGTCGCGGGCTCTCGTTGGCTCTCATCGTCGTTGCCTGGCTTGTCGGGACTTGGGACGACACGAGGAGGTCTTGGCTCTCGTCGTCGTCGTCATCGTCGTCGCTTTCGACGGGAATAAAGTTGGTCTCAATGTCCTGGTTGGCACACGCCAATGGCGCCGCTTCGTGGAGCTTCCGCGCCTGGTCGGGCGGAATGATGCAATCGGTCACACAGAGTTGCTCGATCTGGTACGCGTGCGGAACCGTGCTCTCGGCGAGCAGGCGTGCTTCGAGCTGCGCCACCATCATCGAGCTGAGGACCGTGAGAAGCGACGGATGCCGCGTGACGAGCAGCGTCTCGGGCACGTGCACGTTGGTCGCGTCGACAATCACGAGTGCATCGACGAGCATGCACACGCGCGACGCCGTGATCGCGCCGTTGGCCTTCTTCATGTGGCGCCACGGCGTACCGTAGCGGAACTTGGGCACGCGGATCGTAAACCCGCGGAGGCCTTGGACCGTCTCGATGTGCGGGAACTCGTCCTGGAGGCTGGCGAGGACGCCGCGCTGCAAAATACACCAGATCGAGTGGCGCCCGTCGCTGACCAGGATCGCGTCATTGGCCGAGCTCGTCTGCGCCACGAGCATGAGGCTGGGGCCGAAGCTGTTGGGCGGCTGCCCGCCCGTCGCTGGCAGCAGGAGCGACTGCAGCGTCGACAGCAGGATTGGCGTCACTCCCCGCATCCCAATCGCGATTCGATTATTCAAATTGCCGCGGCCATCCGCAGTCATCCGGATACCGCTCTCCCAAGTTTAACTCGTTGTTGAGAAACGCCACGAAGCGCCAACCGAGCGCTACGAAGCGCCAACCGAGCGCTACGAAGCGCGATACGAGCGAGGTGGCATGTGTCGCCACATTCACAAGCCCTTCCTTCGATGCCGACGATTCACTATCTCTTGCTCCGCTCATGCGTCGACGGCTCACGAGATCGGTCGAGTGTGTCATCTTGAGCATGCTGCATCAAGCAGCTGACTAGCCGGACAAGGCCGTCCGGCACAATGCGCCATAGATCCACCGTGGACGTGGCTTGGATGATGCTAGCGTTTTGCTGTAGCTAGTGTTGATTCACAGATATACATGACACATTTCTCCACCCTGTCGAGCACGTGGCCTGTCCCAACCTGCAACTGCTACCAGTTACAACAAACCATGCGTAAATGGCTCCGCCATACTGGCACCAACGACGACGACGATCGATCGCCACGGACTACGTCTGATGCCGCCACACCCGCGAGCAGCCACGTGCTTCGGCTGCGTCTCTTCTCCAAGGTGCAGGTGCTTTCAACGCGCAGCTTCAAATTTCCGTCGTCCATGCCCGTGCCGACGAGTACGAGCAGCTCCGTAGTCGTCGCACGCACCAAGCCTCGTCAACCACAGCGCAAGAAGCTCTTTCTCTTTCCATTTTCACTCCAAAAACCCACGCAAATGCTCTCCAAGCTGCTCCAAACGCTCCCAAATGACCCGTTTGGCGTCGCCGACAAGATGAGAGCGATCGCCAAGCGACTGTGGTTCACGCGTGCACCACCGCCCACCGCGTACCATTTCATGTTGCATCCGTTTGCATCTAATCACAAGGTGGTATTAGAGCCAGCGACACTGGCACCGCCATTGACGTCGAGGCGCAGCTGCGAGCGTGGGCGGCCCTCGCGCGTGCCAACGTCGCCAAATTGATCCGACGCAAGCAGCTCCGCGATTACGCGGTACACGAAGCGCTCGCGATTCTCGACGCGACCGTCCACACTGTGCTTTGGAAAGCAAAGATGGCTGCAGACCGCCGGCACCTCATCGCGGCGCTTTGTATCCAGCACGCGTGGCGATCGTATGCGGGGCGACGACGCAAGCGCAGCTACGACAAGAGGCACGTTCTCGCCACGCTTCGGAGCGTTGTCGAGCGCATGCTCTGCGCTCGGCTCGTGCCGCGACTCGTGGCCGAGATTCTCGCCCACGGCTGCAGTCGCATGGCCATCCGGACGATACAGCGGGTCTGGCGCGGGCACAAGGGCCGACAACGTGCTCGGCTCCGACGCCGGCGCGTGCAAAAGGAGCAGCGCGCAGCCGCACGCGAGATCGCGCGGCTGGCCAAGCGCCGGGCGCTCTTGGCGCGTAAGACGTCGCCAATGCCAGAAACGGAGGGAAACCCTATGCGTAGCGCCAGAGAATGGCAAGCGACTCGAGAGCATCAAGCGCACGTGGGCGCGCGACGACTTTGTACCGTCGCCACACATCAAGCCGAGCCGCCTCTTGCCGCGACACAAGACGCTCCACCCGCTGCCGACGCAGACGCCCCCGGAGAGCCCCCTCATCGCCAAACTCTCGGTGCCAAAGTGGACGCGGTGCGACGACACGGCGATTCCTGCACGTTCATGGACGCAGAACAACATTGTAGGCTGCAAAAGCCCGTGCGACCGAATGCGTGCTGGGTAGCCGTGCCGATCCACGTCACCGACCATGCACACGTCGACAACCTGCGCCCGCAAAGCCGCCTCCTCAAGCGGCACTACGATTTGCAGTACGATTGGGTCCCCGCAGGTCTTCTCCAGTCGACCACCGACGTGCCAGCTCCCATAACCTTCGAAGACAAAGTGCGGCGTCTGATGCCACCATGGGCCACCAGCGTACCCAAAGACGTCCGCCTCCAACCTCTTTTGTCCAAGCCCAAGCTACACACCGTGCGCCACCCGTCCACGAGTCCACGAGACAATTCGTCAGTCATAGACTTGGCCCAACCCAACCGTGTGGCGAAGCCAAGGTCTTGAAGCGCCCTCCGTCGTCCAGTGTACGCAAACAGTGTTTTTGCCGGCGCACGCGACCATCCAAGATTCTCCCCGCCATTTACGGATTCTAAAAATACATTGCCCTTCGCGTACGTCATATCGTACGTACATCAAGTCCATTCGAATACATACATCTAGTATACTCGTACACGGCGAGGGTTGTACGAGACGCAAAACCTCTACAAACGAATATTTACCCAAGGCTCTTGGCCACTGATCGTGTGGGTGGACATTCGTGAATTCACAAGATGCTTGCGCTGCCCCCTCCCCCCTCGACGCCGGCCAAGGACGCGGCCGTGCTCGGCCTCGGCGGCTACCCGCACCTCAAGCGCGTCGAGATCGCCGGCCGCTCGCTGCACAAGCGCGTGCGCAACGCGGCCCGCGGCCGCTCGCTCTCGATGGAGTCGAACGGCGAGCATGATGCGCGCGCCGAGGCCAAGCTCAAGGAAGAGGCCATCCTTGCCAAGTACCGCAAGTCGATCAAGGGCAAGAACTTCATCAACTTGACCATGTACCAGCAGCTCGGCTTGACCGACGTCATGTTCGACGCGACGCCCGACCAGATCAAGAAGGCGTACCACCGCGTGCTCATTGAGCACCACCCGGACAAGACGCTCAAGGACGAAAACGACCCGAACTACCTCGCGGTGCAAAAGGCGTTTTCGACGCTCATGGACGCGCAGAAGAAGCGTGCGTACGACTCGCAGTGCGAATTTGACGAGTCGATCCCGAGCGGCAGCGAAAAGATCAAGCAGAACATCACGGGCGCGGTCGACCCGAAGGCCAAGATCGTGGACTTCTACGCGCTGTACGGCCCCGTCTTTGAGCGCAACGCGCGCTTCTCGAGCATTGTGCCCGTGCCCATGCTCGGCGACGACGAGACGGATATCGACACGGTCCAGTCGTTTTACAACTTTTGGCACACGTTTGACTCGTGGCGCGACTTTACCCACAACGCCGAGCACGATGTGGACAGCGTCGAGAGCCGCGACGAGAAGCGTCACATGATGAAGAAGAACGAAGCGCAGGCCAAGAAGCTCAAGAAGAAGGAGTACAGCCGTCTTGCCGACCTCGTCGACCGCGCGCAGGCCAACGACCCGCGCCTTCGCCGCGTCAAGCAGGCTGCCAAGGACAAGAAGGAGAACGACCGCAAGGCCAAGGAAGCTGCCGCCCAGGCCATCATCGATGCCCAGAAGGCCGTCGAGGAGGCTGCCGCCCGCGCCATCGCCGAAAAGTTGGAAGCGGAGAAGAATGCCAAGTCCAACGCCAAGATGGCCAAGGACAAGCTCAAGAAGGCGTTCCGCAAGGTCAAGAAGGCCTTCCGTGAGCTCGTCGAAGCCATTGACGACCCGCGCGTCGACGCGGAGGAGACTGAGTTTATCTGCGAGTCGATCGAGATGGACGCCATGGAGGCCTTGAACGCGGCGCTCGCGTCGCCTGCTGGCATTGAGGACGTTGTCAAGGTCCTCACGGGCCTCCGCGGCGACGCCTACATGGCTGCCAAGCGCGCCTAAATATTGCTAGGCTCTTGGGAATACACGCTCCCTTATTGCCTTATCTCATGACAGATGCTTGCCCCATGACATCCGCTTGTCTTATTGCCGCGGAGCAATCGTGATGCGGTCTTGACCCGGCTGGATGCCCATGTCCTGCAGGAATTTCTGCATGCGCGCGGCCTCGGCCTCCTGCGCCGCCGTCACACGCTGCTGCTTCTCATCTTGGCGCTTGTCCTGCGCCGCCTTTCGCCGCTGAATGCTACCGGAATCATGTCAGTGAGGTCGAGCGCTGTCCTCGGCAGCGTACCGAGCTTGATAGTCGTCCGAGCCGCCCATCAAAAAGTCGTCGCTCAAGTCGAGGCCGTCCTTGGCGTCCTCCTTTGCACGCGCCGCGCCATGCAGCGTCGCCGCCTTCTCCCGCTTCTTCTCGATGTTCGCATCCCTACCGACGTTGGAGCAAAAGAGGATGCAGTGTTGTTGTAGCCTACCGGCCCGTGGCCTTTGGCGCGAGCTCTTCCATGACCGACTCTTTGTGTTTATGGTACCGCTTGCGCTCGTACTTGTCGCGCTTGCGCCGGTCGTCCGGGTCGTCCGAGTCGGACTCGTGCTTCTTGCTGCTGCGAGGTGGGGCTAAGCAATAGCAATAAAGAACGTACTTGGCTGATGTCCACATATAAGACGACGTACATGTCGTCTTGGAGGGCCGGGCAGTGGACGACGCGCCCTTGTTGGTCGTAATGTCGACCGTGTCCTTCGTACTCGCCAAGTGCAAGCGCTCCGACTCGTTGAGGTTCTTGACAAAGCCCCACTTATGCTTGGTACGATGGATGCTCTCAAGGACGTGCTGCGGGATGCTCGAGTAGTACATCGCGTCGAGCTTGCCGTCGTTCCATCGGCGGACAAACTTTTCAAAGTACTGCAGTGCGTCGTCGGACGTGAGGTCCTCGAAGTAGAGTTTCCTACGCGAGCATGAGCCCACGCAGGAGGTAGACATGCGTGAGTACTTGTCAGTCTTGAGCCACACACGGAACTCGCGCGCCTTCTCAAAGTAGTCGTCTCGAGAGATGCGCTCGTGGTCGCCTACATCGCATCGCCATCGTCGCATGAGGTTGCTGACCCTTCACGCGTAAGCTACCTCGCTTCTCGGACTTGTGCTTCTTGTGCTTCTTGTGGCTCTTCTCGCGCTCTATGCATGTACGGTCCATGAGGCTGCGCGTTCCCGACCACGCGTACCCTTGCGCGCCGGGCTCTCATCTCGCTCCTTGCGCTTGCTCATGTTGGCTCACCACGTTTCAAAATGATTCGGCATGTGCCGTTGAGCCACGCTAAAATATGGCATGTGCCAACATTGATGCAGTTGTTTGCGGCATTTACGCGATGGAGGTGGCATGATCACAGCACAAAATAAGGCGTATGCCATATCCTGTGAAACATGATGTGTGAACCGTTGCATTATCCTGTAGCATTTTATATTGGTAATAGGACCGCCGACGGCGACGACGCTTGGGGCAGCGCGGAAGCACATGCGTCGTTAGTCGCATAGCGAATGACATCGTCGTTCTCGTCTTCGTCTTCGTCGTCCGAGCTCTCGTCGTTACGCTCGTAGATCTTGTACCGAAGCAAGAAGCGCTTGAGCCACGACCAGGACGCCGTGAACTGCTTTGCACTGAGGCCCAGCGCCGCCGCTTCTTCGCGCGCCTTGCGCTGCACCATCGCATGTGTCACGTCAATGCGGTCGTTGCGCAGCGCCACGATCCACTCCAAGATGCGGTCTTCGACCTCCAGCGGCAGCGTGGTGCTGAGGCCCCGCGGCCGCGTGTTGCGGAGCTCACTCGTCGCGGGGTCGCTCGCCTTCTTGCGGATGTCGTCTTTGCGCGCCGCCCAGCGGTATATCCTTGACCGAGCATTGTCACGCGCCCTGCCCACGAGGCCAGCGTAGTACATGGCCAGCGTTTTCTGGATGCCGTAGGCTTCCAGGTGCTCGAGCATCGCGAGCTTCTCGCGGTACGTGGTCATGACGCACGGAGAGCGTGTGGAGCTGGCCCTGTGTCGGACGTCGCTCGTGGAGAGGCGCGGCCGGCCCGGTCGCCCTTGCGCGACGGACGTCATGCAGAAAAGTCGAGTGTGCATGCACTCTTGAACCGTGTGATTTGTCAAGAAATGCGTTTTCAGAGGTTTCTACGGAGCATGACATTTGACTCGTTGTGTCTGCAACACAAAAGCAATGACAATGTTGTCGACACTCATATTGCGTAGTTATTAGCTACCAATCGAGATCGCCACACTAGTTGCCGTTGCAACGAGACGTCGTGGTCATTTTGGCAGTCGAAATGGATGCATATGTGTGCTTTCGAGCTTCTTAGCAACCATTGGAAGGTCATGTGCAAGGGAATAAATAAATTTGAACAATCACGTCAACTATTGTCATGCAAAAAGTGTTCCCATACTGTAGTTGCCCCCGCCAGTGCCCCTGGTGCTCTCGGAGCGTGCAGGTGTTTGCCTCGAACGTGCATTTCATTGGCTATTTTGTTGTGAATTTCGACCAATCGTGTGCGCGTGAGATTCCATCGCCTGGCACTCGCTCGTGGGAGGCCATGCGATCGACCAAATTGCGTTTCGAAATGGAATCGCTCCAACTTGGCTGGGTGATAGAGCGCGCTTTGGAGAGCACGAAATGCTACGCCACGTCGACGTGTAAGCCATATAACAAGAGTTAGGAGTCGGAGTCTTAATCGTGGCAGACGCCACTTTTATCACCTGACATACCACCAATAAAAAGTGTAAATCTGGTATATGCCATAATTAATATCGTGGTCCATAACTAGTGCTGCACGGCTTGCACGTCAACATAATGTAGCATGTCGTGACCTCCAAAGCGCGCTCTATCACCCAGCCAAGTTTGAGCGATTCCATTTCGAAACGCAATTTGGTCGATCGCATGCCCTCCCACGAGCGAGTACCAGGCGATGGAATCTCACGCGCACACGATTGATCGAAATTCACAACAAAAGAGCCAATCAAAAGGCTTTATCCAAAACGTCCGGTTGATTCAATTTTCGTATCTGGGGCAGGCGCGATATGGTATCGTATACACTTTGTCATTGTCATTGAATAAAAACTGACCGCGTCATCTATTGCTAGAATAGAAACAAATCCATCAGCATTGCTGTTCTGGACCTCTAGGATGGCTTGGAACCTCAAGCGTTAAATTACGCGGCGTCGCGGCAACCATTCGCCAGCACGTCGACACCGCCAAAAAGGCAAGTGGCAAACCGCTCGTGAAGAGACGGGACGGCATGTGCCTCAGCACACGATTGCACTCACAAGCCGCTCGAGTTTTATCACCCGGACGTGAATGACCGACTAACTTCATTGGCGAGGCGCTATGCTTCTCTGATCCGATGTGCGTTCTCGACGCTCCGAATCGTAAAAAGCAATGGCAATGTTGTCTACACTGAAGTTATCTACGATCGCTACGCTAGTTGTCGTTGCAACGAGACGTCGTGACCATTTTGGCAGTCGAAATGGATGCTTTAGAGCTTCTTGGCGACCTTCTTGGCGACGGCCGTCGAGCGAAACCGGTAAAAGACCATGCCAGTGCCCATGAGGGCCAACGAAAACCTACAAGAACTTACGGCGCCAGCATCGACCACGAGGATACCGTACCAGATGCCCGCGTACATGGCGTGCTTCCACGGCGTCATGTAGAACTCGAGGTACTGGTCCTTGTGCTTCTTGACAAGCTCTTGCGCGCTCTTGGCTGTCGTCAGTACGTCGTTGAACTCTTCGAGGAGAATCGGCGTGTACTCGGTCTTGCCCATCATGGCGTGCGCGAGCTCGGGCTGGTTGAGCCAGAAAAAGTGGCGCTTCTTCGGCTCGTTGGGCGGCGAAAAGGTCTTTTCCTATCAAGCCGATGCATCCGTTGCGGCATATGCCATTTTCAAGAGAATGCAGAGAAGGCGACGAACCTCTTCGCCTTGGACCATGACACCCACGAGCTGCACCTTCGCAGGAGCAGCCTCGACCTGGGGCGGGCGCGACGTTGTCAACGCCATGTGCTTCTCCATTTCGTCTTTCGGCAGCCAACCGCGGTTGACAATCACAGACGTCCTATGCTCAATCATGATGGTATGCGCTGCGAGCGACGGTATTATGTACCCGTTCGCACGCTCAAAGAGGTCGTAGATGAAGCCACCGGACGACACCTTACCCTTGCTTTCCGACATGTCGATGGGCGGCGACCGCGGGTCTATTCGTAGCTATATAAGCACCTTGTTTGCATCAGGTTGTACTACAGAGATAGAACGTCTTGCCCGGCACGAAATGGCCCTCGACAGCCAGCTGCCGGTGCTCCAGCTCGGCGCTATTCGCTGCATGAGCCACCTCTCTAGCATAGCCAAGACGATCGTACTTGACGTTTTCCGCAGAGATGTCCCGCGGGAGTGGTACGGGCGCTTCTTGCAGGCGCTGGCGGCGCGTCTCGATGAGGTCGACCTTCCAAAAGTACCGGTTGCTCTACGCCATGGTTGCACGAGCCGTTGCTGCATCCCATGCGCCGTCGCGCTGCTGTACCTGCCACACGCCCATGCTGGCCGTGCCGGCGACGATGCTCGAGAAGATCCCGATGCCAAGCAATTGACCGCGCTGCATGTCCTTCCTTCTTCGCCTTTGGAATTCGTTTGAAGCGTGTTTCTGCAAAACGGCAAACGCCACCTTGAATACGCGTTATATGTGGCATATGCCATTTTCAACCAGACTGTATTCGGCATATCCCGCGCTGCAGTTGTCTTATTCGACGCCATCACGCATGCCTCTCGGCCTGCAGCCTTTTCGCTGTTAGGTAGATGGGGTACATAGACCGCATACGCTTTGCAAATGCAGACAGACCAAGGAAAATACGAATTCTTATTTCTCTAGAGACCGACGAACATCCGGCATGAGAGCGAGGTGCCGCAGGACATGCCGAATTTAGTGGAATCTATTTTTAGCACTGATTCGCCAAAAATCAGATATCAGAGAGTGATGCAAGCGATATTGCCGTCGCTGCCCGAGTCGGCGCCGCACGATGGCTCGCTTCTCGCGAGGAAGAAGCCGCCGCAGAGTGCCCGCAGCATTCTTCTGCGCTCCAAGGTGGAGCCGCGCACGTCGCGAAGCACGGCGCGCCGAGGCAACACCCGCCCCACGCCCGCGTCCAACATCTGGTCACACGTGGTGCGGGTGGCCGTGCAGAAGAAGAAGCGCGAGCCAACGCCAAGTACAGAGAGTAATGCATCCTCTTGATATCGTGCTGCTCTCGCTGATGGCAATGCTGCCAGGCGACAACGATGGTGACGCGCTCTCGTCGGCGAGTGTGGCCACGAAAGAGCTCACGTCGCTCGCAACACTGCTCAAGTCGTCGCGGCTACGAAAGTTCAAAGGCAAGTCCAAGGCGCGCCCCGACCTCGAGCCGTCCAACGCGATGCGGCAGTGGGCGCTGCCGATCCATACGCAGCCCACCACTGCCGCGCAAGAGAAGGAAGACCACCCGGACATCAGCGACGACAACGACGTAGGTCGCATCAACCGGCAAGACACCATGTCTGAATTGGTAGCTCGGCGAGCTGGCGCGGCGCAAGCAAGATGCGCTCACGGCCAACCACGGGCGCAACTTGATCCTGGACGAAGCGTGCCGCGCTGCGTTCACAAAGGACGCGGAGAACCGATCGCACCTCGAACTCCAATCGCTCAAAACGTGGTTTCTCAAAACGAAGCTCAAAACGTGCACTGATTTTGAGGCTTTGCAGCCCCTCGAGGTCGGCCAACTTCGGAAACAACGCCATCTTATTGTTGAGAATGGTAGCTGACACTACTCTGCCGGCGTATGAAGCTCGCCACGTACTACCCCAACGAAGTCGTCTTCAAGCAGGTAGCGTGTTACAACGCGCTCTGTAGTCCATACTACATGGGTGCTAGGGCGACGATGGCGATGCGCTCTACATTATCTTTTCCGGCATGATCCTGAACGCATGTAGAATTTGTCATATAGAAAAACAACTAGGGTCCGTGGACGTGCGCGTGAGCCAAAAAATTGGCGGCGAAGTAATCGAAGTTGTCGTGTGCGAACTGCACAAAGGTGATTTAGCCAATTCCACCAGAACATGTTGAACTATTGCATTTGGAAGGCGACTTTTTTGGCGAGCGAAGCCTCTTGCGCGACGAGCCACGCGCCGGTAAACCATGTCCGAGGTCAACTCCATTTTCAAACGGCAACTAGCGACGGTTGTCACCAAGACAATGACTGAACTCGTGTCCATCTGCCGCGAAGACTACAACGTCATGCTCAAGCAAGACCAGCAGGACTTTATTGATCGTGGAAAAGTCGCGCCTGCGATCGCCGCGGCGGTGCGACGAGTAGCATGCCCACTGTGTCTTTAATGGCACCATGTTTAGTCGTCCAACAGCCACGAGACGTACGTGCGCATTTTGCGCAAGAAGCCCAACTTGCGCACGAAAGCGGACGTCGCCCTCCTCACAACGTACATCGAGACCATCAAGTTCTTCCGCGCGCTCCCAAAAGCATTCCTGCGCGAACTCTGCAGCGTCATTGAGCTCGTGACGGTCGGACCCAACACGACCATCTTCCGCGAGGGCGAGGTCGGCAAGCTCTTTTACGTCATCATGACGGGGTCGGTCGACGTCAAAGTCAACTCGGTCGACCGGCGTGGCGGGAAAGGCCAAATGAAGCTCATCAACCTCAGCGAAGGCGCGCACTTTGGCGAGCTCGCGCTCATGAAAGGTACGCACTCGTTCATGGACTCGAGACTACGCTGTCTAGCCAACGGGCTCCGCTCGGCAACGGTCGTCACGACCCAGCTGTGTGAGCTGCTCATCATTGCCGAACACGACTACAACAACATTTTGCGCAAATTGCAAAAGGAAGACATGTCCAAGCGTCTCGAGCTCCTGGATAAAATTCCCATGTTTCAAAGCGTCGAGTGGACCAACGAGCTCCTCGAAGAGATCTGCTATGTGCTCGTCGAGCAACGGTTTCCCGCCGGCTCGACGCTGTACGCCCAAGGTTCGAAAAAGTTCGATGGGTATCATCTTGGACATTGATTGTCCAATATAGGGGACAAGGCGATGCAAATGTACTTTGTGACGCGCGGCGAGTGCGTCCTCACGCGCACGGTGGTCGACCCCAAGACGCAAGTGGCGCACGAAACGACCATTGAGCGCTTGGGCCCCTTCAACGTCGTTGGCGACGATGCGTACGTCCACTTGTAGTTAGTTAGTCCATTTATGGTGTATATCTAGCGCAACGGGTACCAACTTTAACGAAGTCATTTACCGCGCAGATACGGTCACGGCGACGACACCGATTGATGTACCACCTTGTCACGTCCATAGACTGTATATGCGTCCTCGCGTGTAGGCGCTCGTGCTTACTAAATACGACGTCTTCAACCGCCTTTCACGGGGCGCGCGCGAGACGCTCTGGAGCCACACGCGTGCACACAAGGCCGCCATGGTGGTCATGGACCAGCTCTACAAGTCGCTCAAGTGGAAGGCCTACACGAAGCATGTGTTGGCCACCGAAGTTGATGGGCAAAAGTTGGCGCGGCGTCTTCGCCACCGCCCCGCGCCGTCGCTCGACCCCATCGCGGTACTTAGGACCGATTGAGTGACAAGGACGCAAGAGATATTGAGTAGATGCGACCCAAGATGTCACTTCTCGAAAGCAACGATTTGCTGCTCGTGACGCCGCCAACGTCGAGCCCGTCGTCGGCCATGACTCTCGCCAAGTACACGACGCAGTACAATCCCGACATCACCACCGAAGACCGCGACCACGTCATGGCGCTGGCGAATGCCACCGAGTGTGCGGAACGCGCGGCGCGCGCGGCAGATGGCAACCCTGCCGAGTACTTGCGCTATTTGCACGACAATGGTAGTAGTGTCCTTCAAACCATACACGAGCGGTGTGCGTAGGCGAGACGCCCAACGACGCCGTCAAAAGCATCATCAGTGAGAAGGACTACTTCTCCGAGCACTACATCTTTTCGATGACGACGCCGCCGCTGACGCCACGACCGCCGCCGGCCAAGAAGCCTCTGCATGCTGCCCGTGCGTCGCGCGCCAACCTCGGCGTTCCCCGTGCACCGGTGCTGCTCGAGTTTGCCCCCAAGATTGTGGTCATCAACGTCGCCCACCAACGTCTCTTATTCTGTGACGAGACTTGTCGCTACTGACCATGATGGTGCTGCGTAGAGCTCCAGCCGGTCGCGCCCCACCCAGCGTTTCGACTCGCGGGGATGTTCGCGTCGAAAGAAGCCGCCGAGACCGCAGCCAACGCCATCGAAGAGTACGAGGCCAAGCACGTGCGAAATGGCTTCAAGGCCGAGCGAGCGATCGGGTACTACACCATCGACACGGGCAAGTATGTGCTCGTGCCGTCGACGCTTGAGTGCCTCCTCTCGCCGTACTACTGCGACCAAGCGCTGCATGGCATCATCGACGAGCACACAGACTGGAATTACTGGCGCTCGACGCGTACTGTCGTATCGTACATAGTGTAGATTGTGCTGACGTCGGGGGTAGGCGCCAAGCACTGCGCGTCCCGGCCCGTCACGGCAGACGCAATTCAAAAACTGCTGCACGACGCGTGTGGGCACGTGAGCCAAGTGGCCGCCAAGAAGAGCCAGCGACCTTCGGTAGCCAACCTTGCACTGTGTGATGCTATGCTGCGCGACGACTAGTCGGTGGCGCGTTCGGTGCATTTGCACGACATTGTCGACTACCACATCCCAATCGAGCTCCGCGACGGCGGCAGCTTTGCCTGCGTGAGCATCGTGCTCGTCGCCAAGGAAACGACCGAGCCCGTCCTCGCGGTGCACGGCTGCTTTCGCACCGAAGCCGACGCGCTGTCGTTCGCCGAGCGCGGGTACCGTTTCGTGGTTGAAAGATTGATACAGACATGGACGTAGCAAGATTCCGCAGCTCGTCGATAGTGCCATGCTGTGTGTGGTGCCCATGTACGAGTGGGTATTTTTCGATGACGCGGCCGAGTGGTGTGTCTCGCTGCGCAAGTCGCGCGACCGCCAGCTCGGTTTCGACGCGCTCAAGAAGCAAGTCGCTTCGCACCACGCGCACGGCGTCGCGGCGCTGCCCGAGGTGCCGCACCCGGTATACGTCCGGCGTCCTGCTGCATATGAGCGAGCGACAAAGCGTAGGTGCCAACGTGGGTCCAGGAAAAGGAGCAAGCGACCAAGATCCACCAACTCGTGTGCGTCCATCTCGGTCTGCGCCTGCCCGAGGCGGATATAGCCAACGACGACGAGGGCTACACGTACGACGACGACACAACGACGCTGCTGGTGTCACAGAATGCGTCGCATGCAATAGGCCCAAGATCAACTCGGTGCTGGATCAAAAGCTGGATGCGCTGCGGGACATCCTCACGGCCCAGCACGCGCGGTCGGCCAACATGACGCTGAGCAAAGTCCAGAAAATGCAGAAAATGAGCAACCTCATCAAAGCCAAGGCGGGGTTGGCCAAGGACACTGCCTCCACGGACACCGACGTCGCGTCAACGACGACGGCGCCCAACTAAGAACAGTACTAAGACCTGCTCTAAGAGCAACACTAAGAAGAGCTCCAAGAACAACACTGAGAACAGCACTACGGACTGCGTTAGGACCAGCTCCAAGTAAGAACTTGTCGATAGCAATTATGCATCAAGGATTACTCCTTGTCATGAGGACACCAGGATGCTGTTCGAGCGGCGACCGTAGATCAAGGTCATGGGGACGATGTACGAGGTCGTCTCTGATAAGCGAACTGAGGCGCTCTGTCCTTGATGAGGGTCTGCGTGATGAGTTAGTGTTGGGCCCAGGGCGCCGAGCGAAAGAGGCGACGAAGTGTCACGCGGACTTGGTTGTGCCACTTGTGGGAGGTTGTGTGGGCGAGCATGCACTGGCGCACTGTCCACCTGCGCCACGCCTTCTCCAGCGCCGTGTCCTCGTCCGCGACCAGTTCTCGCAGCGCGGCCATCCGATGCGCGTGAAGCGCCTCAGTCTCGGCCCACGCGTCGTCCATGGCGTCGGCGGCGCAGCCCGCCGCCCAGAGCAGTCCATACCGGTCGGAAAGGGGGAGTGGGCCAAGGGTATCTCGTGGGCCGCGCGTCGAGACGTACTCGACGCGCACGTGTGTGTGGTGATAGGCCATGCCGAGCGACGGGCCGTCGGCCTGCGTGGGCACCGTGCAGCCGCCCAGCGTCCGCGGAAACTCGTATATGGTCGCGGTCGAGAAGGCAACGCGCGTCGTCCGCCGGCGCAGAAAGCGCAGCTTTGTCCGTGGGATCGTGCGGTCCGGCTTCAAGATGCGCTTCACGACCAGCTGGTTCTCAGTCGAGGAGGCAGGTACCACCGTGCCACTATGGCTGCTCGCCAAGGCGGCGGCCACGCAGTCGGCAAGCTCAGACGCGCTGCGGCGCCAGACCTCGGCGTGGCGTGGCACCCAGTCGTCGTCGTCGTCGTCCTTCTCGTCGTCCGTTTTGGTCGCGCCATCCACTTTGTAGGTTCTGTCGAGCTTGGTTCCACGGGCGTCCTCCGACTCGACCTCGGACAAGCTCGGGAGCAGCAGCGCAAAGCTCGAGTCGCTCACCGACGACCACGCCGAGAGCAGCGTCCCGTGCGGCGTCCGCGGCGAGAGACTCGCATCCGACGCCGTGTCGACCGTGGGCGCAAAGGACACGACGCGGTCGCTCCGCGTCTTGACGAGCTTGTCTGCGTCGAAGACGTCCTCGCCGAACGAGACTCGGGCCTCGGCCCACGCCAGCGTCTCCATCTCGGTCCTTGGTGTAGAATTGGCAAATACGGCCTGTAAAAGCTCGCAGCTTCAGATAGTGTTTGGTCCAAAAGACATATCGACGATCGCGAGACGGTCACCACCAAGTTTGGCTCGTTCCTCTTGGAAGGAGCGTCTCGTCCAGCGTGATTTGTCGCTGCACGGTAGGCTCGTCATGTACAGTACATTAGTCCAAGCATAACAACGATGACTCAGAGTGACATCAAGTCGATGCTATCACCTGAGACAGGAACATGTGGAGCGCAGCTCTCGCCGAAGTTGCACGAGCTTGGAGCGCAGCTCTCGCCGAAGTTGCACGAGCTTGGAGCTCGGAGCGCTGCTGACGTCCCTTGTGTTACGTGGCAGCACTGGACGGTGTACTTGGTTCGCTCCTCGACGAACTGCTGGGTTGAAACAAGAGGTGACGCGAGAACAAAGGTCATCTTTATTGCAACAAAAATAACGTCTCGTCTCGGTCTCATTCCCTTTGGTGGTTGCTTGTCTTCCTCCTTACTCTTCCGCGGCCATGTGGGCTTCGAGGACAGCGATGGCTTCCGTGATCTTGCCCTCGAGCGCTTCCGGGCTCTCCAACAAGTGGAGCAGCTCGCCGTTGTCCATCTCCAAGAGCATGCCCGTGATCTTACCGGCAAGCTGCGGCTGCGACTTCTCGATCAACGGGAAGAGGCGCTCGCCAATCATGTTCTTCTGCATGTTGGGCGAGGCAGCAGCCAAGGCGGCCGACGTGAGCGGCTCCATGACCGGGACGGCCGGCGCCGCCGGGGCGACTTCGGGTTGGTTGCGCGCGTTCGCAGTGTACTTGAAGTTGTTGCGGTTGTTGCGCGGCTGGCCCTGCATCTGCGGCGGCACCTGGCCCTGCGGGCGACGACCACGCGGCTGGCGCGGCTGGCCCTGCATGGGCATGCCGTACTGGGGCATACCGTAGCCGGCCGGGCCGGGGGCACCGGGCTGGCGGTACGGCATCGGGCCGCGGGGCATGCCACCACGCGGCATCATCTGCTGCGGGTAGACAAAGCCCTGGCGCGACTGCGGCGGCATCTGGTTGGGCTGCGCGTAGAACATGGGCGCGGCGCCGTACATGGGCGGCTGCTGCATGGGCATGCCACGGCCGACGACCATGCCGGACGCGCGCTGCTGGGCGTGCTGCGCTTCCAACTGGGCGCGGCGCACTTCCTTGCGCTGGGCGAGGGCCACGTAGATGGGCTTGCCCGAGACGAGCTTGCCGTTCATGTCCGTGACGGCCTTGGTGGCCTCCTCGGGCGTGGCAAAGCACACAAAGCCGAAGCCGCGCGAGTTGCCCGACGGGTCCTTCATGATGCGGCAGCTCGTGATCGTGCCGCAGGTCGTGAACGCCTCGCGGAGCTCGTCGTCGTTGAGCTGGTCGTCCAAGTTCTTGACGTACAGGTTGACGCCCTGGTACTTGTTGATGCGTTCCATCTTGAGCGCCTCGAACTTGTTGCGGAGCTCACGCTCGCGCTCGCTGCGCTTCTGGGCCTTGCCAACGTAGAGCGCAATGTCGGCGCCGTCCTCCTGGCCGACCACCTTGTCGTTGAGGGCCTCGACGGCCTTCTGGGCCGACTCGGGCTCGTCGAAGTTGACAAAGCCAAAGCCGCGGTTGCCCTCGGACGACGCGTCCTTCATGACGACGCAGCTCGTGATGGCGCCAAAGACCTCAAATTCCTTGCGCAACGTCGCGTCGTCCCAGTTGTGCGGGATGTTCTTGACGTAGCAGTTGGTCCAGTCGGCGAGGTCGGGGCGGTCCTGGCGCTTCTGGAAGTGGCCGACAAAGACCTCCGAGCCGGCGATGAGCATGCCGTTGATCTTGGCAATGGCCTCGTTGGCGGCCTCGGCCGTCTCGTAGTGCACGTAGCCATAGCCCTTGGAGCCGCCCGACGTGTTGTCGATCGCGACCTTGCACGAGAGGATGTTGCCAAAGAGCGAGAACGTGTCGTAGAGCGCCTTGTTGTCGATCGAGACATCGAGGTTCTTGACAAAGATGTTGCCGACGCCCGACTTGCGGAGCGACGGGTCGCGCTGCGACCACATGATGCGGCACGGCACGCCCTTGATGCTCGTGTAGTTCATCGTGTCAAGCGCACGCTCGGCGTCCGAGACGTTGTGGAAGTTGACGTACGCGTAGCCCAACGAGCGGCGCGTGACGGCGTCGCGGCACACCCGGATCGACGCGACAGGCCCGACGGCGTTGAAGATCTCAAAGAGCAACGCCTATGGTATCATAATGCCACCATGAGCTGCGGTCCCTGTGCACACGCGATATATGCAACGTTTCGTCGTGCCTCGATTGAATGGTGAGGTTACCTCTGTCACGTCGGGGTGGATGTCGCCCACGTAGAGCGACGCCGTGTGGAACGGCTGCGCCGGCGCGGCAGGCGAGGCCACAGGGGCGGCGTTCGTCGCGGCGACGGGGCTCGAGGGGGCAGCGGAGGCCATGGTTTTTTTTCTACTTTTTGTTGGTTCGGAAGGAAGGAGCTTGATTCGAGATCTTCGTTGCCGCCGGGGAAGGACGACAGGAAGAAAGCAAACCAAAAAACGGGAATGGCTATCGCCAAGGCTATTGCTGCACTTCTCCACCAGTCAAATCGTGCCAACGGATTCCCCACCAACCTAAAGTGCACCAATCACGACCGCTTCTACTTTTCTTTTCGACCAATAAGACGCCCGCATGGGCCCCGTCCCTTGAATCTTCTCTCAGAATGCATACCTTCGGATCTTACATACGGGTTTTTTCCCGCGCCCATGGTGGCTTTCCCTCTGATACTCGATACATTGGAACACTTGATGCGCATCGCATCTGATTTGCCCGGTTCAAGCGACCCAACACACACTATTAGCGTTGATTCGGTGTCGCCTCCGGTATAGTGTATAATAGACCTTGCGCACCACGACGCTGGACGTTCGAGAAGCGACCATCTCCCAGCGCAATCTACCACTCAAAGCTATACAAGAGGCTACTTCATTGCTCCGCACGGCAACACTACTACTAGACCATCTGCAGCTTCGCTACCTGCCGTCAATATACTTGCCCATCAAGCCTACTGGTAGTAGGTACTGACCGGAGCCTTAGCACAGGCAGAGACTATAGTCGTACATTACCTTCCGCTAGCTAAACACCCGAGGGGAGCACACGGAGTCTATCGACGATGCCAATCATCGCGCGATCTTTTGTTGGGACGAGTCGCGGATCGTTTTTCTCGGCATATGCCACCGTGTGTGCCACATTCGCGTGACACGACCAGATCCTGCCGAATTTAGCGCACGGAAATAGTGTGTGGCGTCACTTGCCATGTCGATCCGATACGCGTGCGTGTGCGGCCGGCGCTACCCGCTGGCAGAGCTCTACTGGAGCGACTCGTGCAACAAGCTCGTGTGCCCATGGCCGACGTGCTCGCTCCAGGAGATCGACTCGTACTTTTGCCGCTTCCAGATGGACAACCTCCCGTCCAAGGAGGCGGCGGCCTATAAGAACCGGTCGGCGCGCACGTTTGCGTGCCCCGACTGCGCGACCACATTGCAGACGATCAAGACAGGCGACAAGTACATCTTCTTCTGCGCCCACTGCCGCTGGGACTCGGAGGCGATTTTGGCCGAAGATGACCCCGACACGCTCATGATGGTCGCCAACACGCGCGAGCGCGACGACCACATCTTTGATACGCTTCTATCGCACTACCAACAAGCGTCGGCGCAGCACGCAGCGGCGCACCCGACGAAGCCTCTCGCGTTTGGCTCCCTCGCACGGTAAGCTTTCTGCTACGTCGTCTTTGGGATGGAAGTGGCATGGACACACGTAGGTTTGGCAAGCCCCATTTTCAGGTCAAGGCGCCATCGACCTTGGGCTGGAAGATGGAGCAGCTCGACGAAAAGCTGCACAAGCGCAGCATCGACAACGTGCTGTCGCCGACCGACCAAAAGCTGGCCGCCGCGCTGCGGGCCAAGTTCCCGAACCACAAGAGCTTCGACTGCGCCGACGATAGCGACGCCGTCGCCGCGCTCGCGTCGAAGAAGTACATGTCGACGATCTCGACGTTGCACCAGCGCTATCGCTGCAACCCGCTTTTGCAGAGTCGGGACGTGCCCGCGCTGTACCCGTCGCGGCCAGACCTCCGCGTGAAGCGGTCGTGGCGCTGTGTCGAAGCCATGGCCAAGAACAACCCTGGCATCCTCGTCAAGCCGCAGATCAATCCGATGACAGGCGACAGCTCCATGGTCGTGTCGGCGTCGTGGTGGAAGAAGGCGACGCTCGGCATCCACTTTGTGCCCAACGTGACGATCCAGACGCTTTGGGCGAACGACCACTGCTGGCTCCTCCTTGAAAACCCCCTCGAGGACGACATTCTCCTCACGGTTGCCGCCAAAGCTCTCGAGAGCGACGAGGGTCCCCCTTTCATCGTACGTTGCTGCTGTCGCTGCATATCGTGATGCATGCTCGTGGTCTTGTAGCCCGTCGTGCCCGCCGGTCCGCTTGCGATCGGCGCATACGAAGATCCCAACTTGATGGACACGTCGCCAGCCGAAGTCGCCAAGTTTGACGGTGCGTACCTCGAGGCGCGTGATCGTGTCTTAGACGACTGTGCGAGCAGATGTGACGTCGGACCCGACAAAGACGGTGCTCACGTCGCGCAACTACGCCAAGTTCAAAGTGCACGTACGTGGCGCCACCACGGCGCAGGAAATGATTATGATACTAGAGCGAGAACGCGATGGATCCCGTTGCGTTCCAGCTCGAGTTTCACATGTACAAGGTCGAAGACGAGGAGCACATTGGCGCGGTCACGACTGTCGAAGGCCGCCCGCTGCTCGCCATCTTCACGATCGATTTGGAGGTCCCCATGGCGGCTCGCGTCTAACCATGCGCGCTACGAGTCGAGAAATGAAGTTCATATTGCATGCTCGACCACTCGTAGCATGCACCGATTGCATGCAAGCATGTGCGATGCTGGACGCTCGCCTGCAGGTCTCGCAATCGTTCGCATCATCCTTTCTTGGCCACGCCCTCGACGGTAGCACCCCATGCACTCACGCTGCGCGAGCCGCTGCACGCAGGTCGTACCTTGCGGCGGCGCGCGTACAGAAGGTCCATCTTGGAGACACTGTTCGGCGGGCGCATGGTCATCGCCCACCGCCCGCTCGTCGCGGCCCCAAACGCGCTCGTCTACGGATGTTTGGATCGTATCCGTACAATCCCCAAGTTTCGCGCGAAAACGCGATAATGAAAACGCCTCCAAAATACAATGTTGTTTTCCCTTCACCTAAGTTTTCGCTACGAAAACCAAGTTGTTTGCCGCCTCACCACTCGCAAGGTGCATTAAAACAGCGTCGAATACTATCACTTGACAAAACGCGGGATCCATGGCAGGTCGCGGCCAAGGGACCGGCGGCGGCGGCGCCGTGCCGCAGGCGCCGCGCATTGAGCTCGTGGTCGACGAGACGGCCGAGGTCGTCAAGATGCGCTTCCTCAACCACCTGCGGAGCGAGGTCTCGTACGAGCAGCAGAAGGAGCTCATGCGCCAGTCCGAGACCTCGTCGCTGTTTGTCGACTACTCGCGGCTCTTTGCCGCCGACGCCGACTTGGCGCAGGCGATCGCGACCGCGTACTTGCGCTGGGAGATCCCGCTGCGGCAGGCGGCGGCCGAGTTTTGCGACACGGGCCGCGAGACCTTTGTGTGCTTTTACAACTTTACGACGGTGCGCAAGATCCGCCAATTGAAGATGACCGAGGTCGGCAAAATGAACAGCTTCTCGGGCACGGCGACGCGCACGAGCGAGGTGCGACCGGAGCTGCTCTTTGGCGCCTTTACGTGCGTCGACTGCGGCGGCGTCGTCGAAGGTGTCGAGCAGCAGTTCCGCTACATGGAACCCGTCAAGTGCGCCAACCCGTTCTGTGGTAATACGAGCCAATGGGAGGTATGTGGCGACTCTCTACACTGCAAGAAGGCACGTGCTCAACGGCGACGCTAGCTGCACCCCGAAAAGAGCGTCTTTGTCGACTGGCAAAAGGTCAAGGTGCAGGAAAACAGCGACGAAATCCCTGCAGGGAGCATGCCCCGGTCCATTGACGTCATTCTCCGGCACGAAAACGTCGAGCAGGCAAAAGCAGGCGACCGCGTCGTCTTTACGGGCGCGCTCATCGTCGTCCCCGACACATCGCGCTTTGGGAAGAACGGCGGCGAGAACGTCGTGACGCGACGAGGAGGTATCTCACGCGTCTTCTCAAACCAACCACGATGCAATGGCGTCATGCAGGTGAAAACAGCTCGTACGGCATGGAAGGCGAAGGCGTCCGCGGTCTCAAGTCGATGGGTGTCAAAGAGTTGACGTACAAGACGGCGTTCTTGGCGTGCTCCGTGCAGGTCCAATTCGCAATCTCATCCACCTCTCAGATCTGATATGATCATGTTTAGACCATGGCCCAGCGCTTTGACCGCGTCTCGATCCGCAGTGAAATGGGCGAAGAGACCGAGAACGACTTTACCGAAGAAGAGCTCGAGTCGATCCGGCTCATGAAGGCCGAGGCCGACCGGTACACCAAGATGGCCAAGTCGCTCTGCCCGAGCGTCTACGGCCACGACGAGATCCGAAAGGGTATCCTCTTGATGCTCTTTGGGGGCGTGCACAAGACGACGGCCGAGGGCATCAAGCTGCGTGGCGACATCAACATTTGCATTGTCGTACGCATTCCGTATCGTTCGGCCCCCTTGATACATTGATACTAGGGCGACCCGTCGACGGCCAAGAGTCAGTTTCTCAAGTACATTGTCAACTTTTTGCCGCGTGCAATCTACACGAGCGGCAAAGTGAGCTCGGCCGCGGGTCTCACGGCGTCCGTGTCGCGGGACCCGGACACGGGCGAGTTTTGCGTCGAGGCCGGCGCGCTCATGCTCGCCGACAATGGCATCTGCTGCATCGACGAGTTTGACAAGATGGACCCGATGGACCAAGTCGCGATCCACGAGGCCATGGAGCAACAGACCATTTCGATCACAAAAGCCGGGATCCAAGCCACACTCAACGCGCGCACGTCGATCCTGGCGGCCGCCAACCCTCAGAACGGTCGGTACGACAAGACCAAGGTATCGCACGGATACCGAGTCGGACGGCAGCTTCATGCACACGTAGACGCTCAAGTACAACGTGAATATTTCGCCGCCGATCATGTCGCGCTTTGACCTTTTCTTTGTCGTACGACGAAGATGCGTTGCCCATCTTCTCATGTCTGCGACATGCATCGTAGATCTTGGACGAGTGCAACGAGCAGGCTGACGAGCGCATCGCACAGCACATCGTCAACCTCCACAAGCCGCGGGCGCTCCAGTCCGACGCCGACCACGTCGAAGCGTACCCGGAAGAAGCGCTGCAGCGCTATATCAAGTTTGCGCGCACGCTGAGCCCTGTCATTACCGAAGATGCCAAGCGCATGATGGTCGCGTGCTATCGCCGGTTGCGTGAGAACGACGTGACGAGCAACGGACAGAGCAACATTGCGTACCGCATTACCGTCCGGCAACTCGAGTCGATGATTCGCCTCTCGGAGGCGCTCGCAAGGTTAGACCTCGAGGAGACGGTCCAGGTCGAGCACGTCCAGGAGGCGTACCGGCTCCTCAACAAGTCGATCATTCACGTCGACACGGAGAGCATCGAGCTCGATATGCCGACGCTGCCACCTACGGACGCGGTCGAGGCCGAAGCGCCAACACTGCCAATCGACACTACGAGCGACGCGACGGCAACGCCCCAAAAGGCAAAGAAGACGAAGAAGAAGACGGCCAAGGACGTCGAGACGGACGCGGGCTCGATCTCGTTCGAACGGTTCGCGGTCGTGCAGAAGGCGCTGGCGCTCTTTATTCGCGAGAAGGAGGAGGAGATGGAAGCGTACAAAGCGATGTCGCAGGCCGAGCGCGCGGCCGACCCGAGTCTCCGCACCGAAGAGGACGACGCGCTCGACGCGTGGGAATGCGGTGTGCTCCAAGCCGAAGTCGTCACGTGGTACCTCTCGTCCCAAGACATTACGTCCGAGGTCCAGCTTGGCCACGAGCGCAAGATCATCAACTCGGTCATTGAGAAGCTCATCAAAGACGGCTTCCTCCAAGTCGTTGAAGATGGCGGCGACGACGAGACCGATGCGATCCAGAACCGGTACCTCACAGTGCACCCCAACTACGCTCTCGACTAAACCACTACCCAATGTGTCTTCACAAATATACGTGGCAGCAGCAGGAAAGAGTCAGGCGCCAGAACTGCCGCTCCTGCTGCCTCCGGATCTCCACGTCGTGACGCATCATGATGGAGCGCATCTTGCTCCACCGCATGGCACGATTCTGCATGATCTCCATTGTCTTGGCATGTCCATGATGGCTGAAGTAGACGAGGTACATGCGGCGGATGCATAGACGGCGGCGGCGCTCGCGGCGCTGCGGCGGATGATATCCGCCTGATTCATTTTGCATTTTTAAAGTTGACTTGCGTTTTGTATGCTGCGGCATGAACGTCTGCGATCGAACCGGGGCCAGTTTATCACACCGCCTGGCTACGGGGCAGCTGGCCCGTCGGGTGCTGATTTATTTTATCATCGATCGATTTGTATGCAGTTCCGCCAGTTGACAAAAAAACCATCGAAACGCTGAACGCCTCCTGTGACTAATGGACGCCAGTATAATAATTTGCCGACGGGTTGCTGTTGGGCCAAAGAAGGCGTTTGATTGGCCACCGGCACCAGAACACGCATGATGATTGGCTGAATTTCGCGAACCCTACCCCGTCTGATCGGGCGCACGCTGTATTTTTTTAATGCAAAATAATTTTTGCTGCTTTTTTACAGGCGACCGCGGGTAAGTATCGCATACAAATTTCCATATACTCGCGCGACATGTGCCCGCCGGCCGGCCCCGAGTCATTCTCGCATTTGCCGGCCGCCAGTCACCACCTCCTCCGCCATGTACTCGCAGACCGTCCACGGCATGGCCGCCTACAACCCGTATACGCTGCATGACGACTCGCACCTGCGTCAGCGCTCGTCGCCCATGTACAGCTACAGCCAGGCGCCGCGCCCGTATATGCCGTACGGCAACCAGAGCCCGACCAAGTACCACCACCACTACGACGGCCACCACCACCATCACCACATGAGCCAGCACGACGATGACTTTTACCTCGACCACGCTGCGTTTACGATTGTGCCGACGGTACCGACGCCGGAAGAGCTCACGCGCTACGAGTATGGCCGCACGCCGTCCGGCAAGGTGCTCGTCACGGCGGGCAACCAGACGGTTGAAATCTTCACGGGTGTCATGAACGCGCCGCCATGCTACATGGAGTAAGTAGCACGGTCGCTGCGCCTCGCCGTTTGCTGTGCGCCAAGCCCGACCCGACCGACGCTGCTCTTTGTAGAGTATGGAACGTGTGTAAATAAGGCACGTCGGTCGGCACGACTTGCGACGCGGCGATCCGGGGCGATCGACATTAGAGATTGTAGGCCATATGAGTAAGAATAGCGTGTACGATGAGAAGACACGCTCGTATTATCTATTAATAATATGTTAATTCTTGATACCCCACATGATTTCTTATCGTCCTTCAGGATGGCATGATGGGGTTTTCCGAGATTGATGATGTGATGTCATGTATGATGTGGCTCGCACCCAAGAGGAGCGTGGACGCGCGCCGCCTCTGCGCGCTTCAACTAGAGGCACGGTGTATCTTTGTGCTGCAGAACGCGGATCTTGGCCTGTCTTGGTGTACGGTACTGTTGCTCGTCGTGTCCCATATTGCCTATCCATGTCGCCGTAGCTGCACGAGGCGTCCTCGTCGGGCCGTGCCTGCGCCGACGCTTTGGCCGCGGCCAGCGATGTATCGTGTCGTCGTCGTCATCGACGTTGCCAGCCGGACGCCACATCACCTGCCGCCTTTCTCGCCGGCATGGCGTTGCGTTTTAAAATCCGCGTCGCTGATTGGCTGACATTTGATGGACCACGTGGCGCTACTCCAATCACAGGACGTGGTTGCATTGGATTACGAATTCACTATTGCGGGTCCTGGGCCCGGATCGCGAGCGAGGCCGCGGAGGCGTCAATGGCCTGCGCAAAGGCCGCGACCCACTCGTTGAGCTCGCGGAGAGACTCGGCACAGAGCCGAAGCGCAGGGTTGGACTCGTGCAGCACCTAGCGTTGCGTGAATGCGACGTGTTTGGAAGCGCTATGTGCACCTTGAACTGGTGCGGCCGCCGCTTCTCGCTCTTGATACGGATCGAGTAGCCGCTGAGCTTGTACACTTCGACGGGTGTCACGTCGTCCTCGTGGAGGTAGATACCAACGGACCCTTTCCGAATCAGGAGCACAAAGAAGAAGCGCTCCCACGCTTTGTGGAAGCGCGTGCCGACCATGCGATCGAGGTAGCCGCGTTTGATGAGCGTCACTTTTGCCGCTTTCTTTGGGGGTGTCGCTGCTATGGCATCGTCGCATGAGTCAAAGAACAGGAGCGACCGCGTGCATACGTGGCATGACGGGAGACGGCGCAATGTCCTGCGTTGGCTCGAACACGCCCTCGCCGGCGCTTGTCGACACTGTGCTCTCAACGTCATTGGGCTGACCCAGTAGTAGCTTGGAGTCGGGCGCGATTTCGTGGCCGGTAGCGAGGACCTTGAGAATCGGTGCCGGGATTTGCTCAATGCACTGGTTGCATACACGTTGCTTGCGCTGGGGCACACCAGGAAAGAGCCTTAGCCCAATGCGACTCGACGAGCACGGCGCACACACAAGCCGCGAGCAGCGTCGGCACTGCAACTGCATCAACACGCTAGCAAATAGGCGAAGACGCTTACGTGGTGACGCCGGTTGAGGAGTGTGAACCCTTCACCGCAGTTGGAACACGCGTACGACGACGAGTCGAGCGTCCACTCGGCCTACAACGATGTGTCCATAAGGTGTTGGCTGCGTCCGTGCCGTGTACGAGCAGCGCGACATCGGGCGTCGCGGGGCTGTTCCATGTCGGCACGACGTCTGTGAGCACACGGATGTACTTGACGGCCGCGTCCGTCTTGGACATACGCCCGAGCTTTTCCCATTTTTGTCTAGTACATGTGAGTGACAGGAGGCGCTACATGGCAATAAGGTCGTACAAGCGGGTTTCGCCGGCAAAGCGCCCGCAGCAGCCAAGCCATTTGGACTTGTTGCCTACGGTTGCATGCATAACGTTAGTACGATGCTCGAACGCAGGAGGTGCGCACTGCAAGCGAATTGATTTGCGCGGTAGTCGATGGAGCCGCGGTACTCTTCGCACGGACCGTGCAGCACTTGCTGCTTTAGTGCCCATAGCACGTCGTCCCAGTTGTGCAGCGGCCATACGCTCGGGTCCACTGCAACAGGATCCGACTGCAAGCGCGAGAGGAGCGTCGACGCGACCTTCTCGGCACGAAGGAACGTCGACGTGAGCTCCTTGTCGTTGTCGATGAAGGCCAGCGCCATGAATCGGACTCGTGAAACGGGCTCCAATCTTTTTTTGATCCGAAAGGACGAAAGTGCCGCTTGGTGTTGCACGATCTAGATCTGGGCCAAAACCAGATTCTCCGCCAAGATCTTAGCCCTCCACGAGCACCAATGCAACGCTATACCTACACTGCTACGCATGACAAGCCAAGACCTTTGTTCTCCTTGAAGAACTGTTGCGACGGTGCTGTCGACAGAATTGCCCTCAACTCGCAACTGCAATGTCATCTGTACGACCTCGGGGATGACCACGATGTCGATACGCACGGAGGAGATTTTGCCGACGAGCTTTGCACGCGCCATGAACCTTAGCCTTTGGAGGACCATTGATCGCTTGCTTGTGAGAACTGCAGTCTGTCGAAGAGAGCTGCTGGTGTGTGTTGAGAGAGTGCTGTCAAGGAGTGTTGATGGCTGCTATCACCTGCGTCCGGATATTGACAAACGAGCGATCCGGATATGCGACCAACCTCGCAGCCAGTTGGGATTTTTTCGATTTTCGAGCCGAGCATGAGCAGCAGCGGCAAGCCGATGGGGAGCGTCTCGAGCACGCCGCCGCCGAGCAGTAGTGCGTCGCCGACCAAGAGCGTGATCCAGCACGTGCGCGACATCAAGGAGATGGAGACGCCGCGCCTGCTCCGGTACATGCGCGTGGGCAACATCCTCTGCGCGATTCTGCAGATCTTTGCCGGCATCGGGGGCATTGCGTCCATCATCACGTTCAACCTCACGGCCGTCTTTGTCTCGGTGTACATCATCATGTTTGGCGTGCTCTTCCTCCTCTTCGAGTGCCGCCTCTCGCGCTTTGACAAGAGCCTCCGCACGAACTTTGGCTTTCTCTACTCGTACAAGGGCCGCGCGTTCTTCATCTTCTTCATCGGCTTTATGGACTTTGGCACGGACGACGGCCTTGGCTACATCGCCGGCGTCATCATGTGCATCAATGCATTCCTCAACTTTTACGCCATGATGCGCCACCCCGAGTTCAAGAACGGCAACCTCTCGTCGTCCTCGGACCCGACTGTCGGGTATGCGGCCGCGCACCAAGAAGCCCAGAACTTTATCTCGAAGAACCCGAACATTGCGATGCAAGCGACCAACTACGCCTTCTCGCAGGCCAACGCGGCCGCGCCCTCGTATGGCAGCCAGTCGTAATCGAAGTGATTCTTTGCCATCGTGTGCGGCGATCCTCTTGTGATGCAAGGCAGTCGTGTAGCTGATAGATGCAGTAGTCGAGCTTACTTTGCCGAATCGAGGAACTTGCGGATGCGCTCGAGCATGTCGGCCTTGATCGAGTCGGGCACCGCAGCGCGGCCCTTGGGTGTGATCTCGTCGACGAGGTCCTCGACCGTGATTTGGTTGATGCCTTTGGTCTTGATGAGCTCTACACGCATCCGATGACCTTGACAATACGCACCGATAGCACTGCACCTTTGCAGTATGTGCGCATTTCGTCGCGCCAGCCACACTCGGTGAGCTTCTGCCGCAGCGCTTCCTTAAGCCTACGATCAAGGATGAGCATAAGCGAGCACAGTTGCGGCATGCCGCCGTACCGCTCCTTCTCGCCCGACTCGACGAGTCTCTGGTTGATCGTCTCCTTGACTTGCTCGTCGAGCTTCTTGCGGTACTCGTAGGATCTACGCCACGTCGTCGCCATGAGACTCTCGAGTCGATGGACGAGAGGGAGCGTACTCGGCCATGATGGACGGGCTTGTGTTGTGGGCAGCTGGTGGTTTTTCTAAGCATCCGGATACGGTGCCACCAGATAATTGCCGACATCCAGCCCCAGCTGCCAACACACGCCACATCGATCGTCCAGCAGCATTTCTAGCTCTGTGCATCGTTCGCTTTGCCTGTAGCGCGCTTTGCTCAGCGGGCGCGTCCACTGGGCGTGCGATGTATTGCCGCGATGAATCCAGCACTTATCTGGTCTTTTGGTCGAGGTACCGTATCCGGACAAACAAATCTTTGACGCGACCCTTTGGATGCTGCCAGCGCGTCGCGGGTCCAAGGCGGCGCCGGTAGGTCCAGTGGCCATGACTGCAAGCATGGAGCTGAGCTGTAGCACAAGCAGACCGATGCGAAGAGCAGCCTCGATGCCAAGAAGGCGGCGAAGCGGAAGAAGTGGGAGCTACAGACGTACGTGGCCGCGCGCGACTTTACCGGCGCGTTGACGCTCCTCGCCTTTGAAGCCAAGCACGGCAAGAGTAGTAGCCGTCGCACGAACGCGCTCTGGAGCGCGTACTGTCACTTTTACCTCGGCGAGTACGAGCTGGCGTTGCAGCAACTCGACAGTGCGCTCGTACGCTGCCGCCACCATGTTGCCCCGTCTTGATGGATATCGCAGGCCATGGACGAAGAAGAGACCGATGCTGATCACGGCGCCGACGTGCGCGACTACATTCACTTGCAGCGCGCCTGCTGCTATCTCTACCTCCATGTACGCTGACGGTCGCGCGCCTCCAAATGACAATGCCACAGGAGCTGCCCACGGTGCACGACGTGCTCACGCAGTCGCTGCCGCCGACGCTGCGCCACGAGACCCTCCAAGCGGCACGGTACCGCCTCGAGCTCGTCCTGGCGCAGCGCGAGGACAAGTCGATGACGGTCGCGTCGCGCCTCGGACAACTCTTGACGGCGAACGTGCGCGACCAGCTCGCTGCCGCGGCCATTCTCTTCCGCCAGCGCAATTTTCAAGGCGTATACCCTTCAATGCACACTCTTGTCGATACGAATCCTGTGTCTACTAGGCCATGGACATTTACAAGCGCCTGGCATCGCGGGATGAAGGGTACGCGGCGGTCCAGGTCTACCTCGCCATGTGCTATTACAACCTCGAGTTCTATGACGTGTCGCTCGAGATGCTCAACAACTACCTCTCGCTCGACCCGCACAGCGTTGTGGCGCAGAACCTCCGCGCGTGCAACGTGTACCATCTCACGGACGGGTTCGTCGCCGAGCAGAGCGTTGCGCTCTCGGTATCGCTGCCCCGTCCCCTTCGACCCGACACGTTTCTTCGGGGTAGGCCCACGTGCACAAGACCCACGTGCTTCTCGAGCACAACATTATGGCCTTCCGCGACACCGAGTACCGCTTGGCGGTGTGGACGTCGCTCTTTGGTATCGTTCCGGAAGCGCTCTTGAATGCCGCCATCTTCCACCTCAAGCAACGTCAGATGCGACTGGCGTACCACCTGCTCGAGAGTCTCGAGCCGTCGACGCCGATCGAGTATGCGCTCAAAGGTCGACCTCGCACGCTCCTTAGTTTTCTTAGTTGCTGCGTGCAGGGGTCGTGCACAGCTGGAAAGGCCAGAGCGACGGCCAAGGCGGCACCGACGAGCATTTGTTTCTGGCCGAAAAGTTCTTCGAGACGGTCGGCGCGTCACCGTCCGAATGCGATACGATCCGAGGCCGGCAATGCATGGCGTCGTTCTACATGCTACGCAAGGAGGTAGTTCTCTTATGACTATAGACCATTGGTACACTCGGATCTTTTAGTTTGAGACGGCCGTGACGTACCTCAAGTCGATATCCATGTACCACGTCAAGAACGACGCGTTCAACTGGAACTATGGCATGGCACTCGCCGCCATGGGCTGCTACTCGGTAGCAGGCGGTTGAGCAATCGACGAGATACACTAGTGTGTAGGAAGCCGAGTCGGTGCTCACGCAGATCCAGGACCCGGCGTGGAAGCACCGGTACCTCTACTGCGCCTGGCTCGCCCGCTGCCACATTCGGTCGATCCAGCAGTCGCACTTGGCGTGGGAGATATATCTCAACATGCAAGACTCGAACGACGCGCTCGAGCTCCTCAAGCTCATTGCCCACGAGTTCTACCTCGTATGCCGCCTGTTGTAAGTCGGAGAAGGTTTGCCAAGACGCTCGTAGATGGCCGACTATTTCTTCGCCGCCAAAGCCTTTGACGTCCTCGAACGCGTGGACCCGGACCCCGAGTACTGGGAGGCCAAGCGCGGGGCGTGCGTAGGGTATTTCAACAAGGTACAACTTGTCGGATATGAACACGACAACACCATGTGCAAAGTCGGTCACGGGCAAGTGCGACCCGGTCAAGCTCCAGCAAGTGCTCACGATGCTCGAGAGCTCCAAGCACCACCAAGGCAAAGGCATTGCACGTACGTTGCGCCATTGGTGCGAGGCCAAGACGCTCTTACCGCGGTCGTGATATATATGTATAAATTGATTGCTACATTCACAAAATTAAACTAGATATACGTATTAACTTGCGTCGTCGAGCGGGTCGAGCTGCGAGAGCGAGGTGGCAGATGACGTGATTGAGGAGGCATGGAGATCCGACACACTCGACGTTTTGGATGAGCTCAGTGACGACGACCCGTAGCTTGACGTCGACGCGGACGAGTAGCTTGAAAGGCTTGAGCGGCTATCCGACGACGAGACATAGGACGTGGTCGCCTCCGAGTCGGAACTCTCGAGCGTTGCGTCGTCGACAGCAACCTTGGCCAGCGCGTCGACCAGCCATTGGTGCACGAGCGTGGTCGCCACGGTTTGCTCCGTCTTGACAAGTGCCGTGTGAGGCGTCGTCACCGTCGCGGGGGGTGCCGGGGGAACGGGTACTGACGCAGGAAGGGCCACTGAGGGCACGACCGGTGGTGAGTCTCCTTGGGCTTGGTCGTACGTCGCTGAGACTACCTTGGCCGCGTGGACAGCATCGGCTGCGGTAACTTCCATCGACTCTGTTAGCCACGCAGACAAGAGGTGCCGGGATAGAAGCGCACACAAGGTCGGATCGACTGCAGAGGAGCTGCTCGCTTCGTGAGACTCGGGGGTGTCGGGACGCTTTGCTGTTAGTGGGGCGTTCTCGTTGACCGACACGGCTGATGCGTCATCGATGAGCGAGGTGCTCTGCGACGGCTCGCAAGCAGACGTAGCCACCGAGGACACGGCTTCGTGTAGCCAAACACGCACGAGTTGCCCCGCAACTAGAGAAGCGGCGATGGCGTCATCAATGGGCAAAGAGAGCTCCGAGTCCACGCGCCAGAGTGGTGCAGTAGGCGTCGTCTTGACGACATCTGGCAACTTGGACGCCGGCAGCGGCTCAAAAACGTCGACTGGCAAGCGCTGGAGCTCGGACATGCTCGGGACGCCATCCACAGGAGCAGCGCCGGCCAGGGCGTCGTCGAGCGGCATTGAGGGAGGTGCTTCGCTGTCGCGACCATCGTCGATACCAGACAGGTTGTCTGCACTTGCTGTCAAGGGCAGAACGGCCTGCCACGCGGCAAAGCCAAAGTGGCTGGCCACGTTGGCGTACAGTCCTTGAGTTGGATGCGTCCGGACGACTGGCAAAGCGTCGACGACGTCGATCAATGAGGGCGGCGTCGCGCTGGCATTGAGGACGAGCTGCTTTGCAACGCAGCTCACACTGGCTTCATACAACCACCCACGCACGAGTTGCCCCGAGAGCATCGAGGCAACGACAGCGCGATTGATCTCGTCCATCTCGCTTGCGCTCGGCTCGATTGCTCTGGCTTCTTCGACTTTGCTCGGCACCCGTTGGAGTGTTTCGTTCATGATATTGGTGGTCTCGGCAATGACGGTGTCGGCGATAGCACTCGACGTCGCACCCGCTGTGAGCTCGTGGCGGCGCGCTGTCAACTGGACGATCTCGTCCATTACGGTGTAGGTCCACGCGCGCACCAGCTGTCCGGCCAAGATGGACATGGCTACCGTGCCGTCCTGAGATTCTTCGGACGAGTTGTCGTCCGGGTTCTCGCGCATAGACACTGCGACAAAGGATGCGAGCGGAGCGTCGTCAACGACATCATGTGGTGACGCAAGCTGTTGCGTTGCTCGTTGGACAATGTTGTCCATCACATCGTAGACCCAGATGCGAACGAGTCGTCCGGCCATCACTGACGTTGCGACGATGCGACATGCGTCACTGATGTCGTCAGACTCCATGTCGGCCGTCTTGACACTGCTTGGAGGCACCTCGATGGCTGCCATCTCCGTCTCGGTAGACAGTCGCGAAAGCTCGTCTTGTGGCTTCTTGGTTTGGGGCTCGCTTAGCTTGGCCGAGCGCTGGACGATAATGTTGTCCATAGCCTCGTAGACCCACGCACTCACGAGCACGCCTGCGAGGATCGAGGCGGCTACACTCGTGTCGTCGCTTGTCTCCGCCTCGTCAACGACTACGGGTGTCACGGATAGCGTAGGTCGCGCGTCATCACCGACCACAGGTGGCGTAGGAGCTTCGGCTACAGCGCATGCTGCAGCGTCCGCAGCATGCTCGTGGCGTCGTGCTGAAAACTGCACAACTTTGTCCATCGTCTCAAACAGCCAAACACGGACAAGTTGTCCGGCAAGGATCGAGACTGTCACGTTGACGAGATCGTCGTTCTGTGCCTCGTCGTCGGACAAAGGCTCGTCTGCAGCGCGGCAATCTTCCTTGGCGGTCGCGGCCGCTGACGAGGGCGTCGGTGTGACAATGACATCTGTTGCGACTGTCAAACGCTCGGTGCGTCGTGCTGAGATTTGTTGAGCGACCTCATCCATGGTCTCGTACAACCATCCGCGCACGACTTGACCAGCCAAGACGGACACGGCGACGTTGACGAGGCCGCCCTCAGGTGGCTTGTCTTCGGACGACTGCAAGACAGCGACCGGAGCATCATCATCGCAAACTTCCAGCGGAGCTAGATATGCAGCAGTAGACGCCAGAGTGCGTTCCGCAATGACATCACAGGTCTCGTAGAGCCACACACGCACGAGCCGGCTGGCAACAAAGGCCACGGCAACCTCTTCGTCGTGAGCCGCCATATCGAGAGCATCGACTTCGCTGGCGTCGATCGTTGCCAGCGCAGACAGTGGTGTCGGAGCATCTACCGTCTCTTCGGGCTGAGGCGACGAAGCAACGTTATTAAGTGACGACGAAGGGACATCCTCCAATGTCGCAGCGGTGGTAGCGTCGTGTTCATGCGAGCGGCATGTAAACCAAGCAACTTCTTCCATCATCTCGGACAGCCACGCGCGCACGAGGTGGCCGGCGAGGATCGAAACGGCGACCTGCGAGCGCATACTGTCGTCTTCGTCCATTGGCGGTAGCGACGGACACGCGTCAAGGCCAGGCGGGTCGACGACCGACACGACCGGCGGTTGTTCCGACGCCGTCTCGATGCCCACGATTGAAGTCAGCGCAGAGTCGCGTTGGGTGGTCATGGCTCGCACAACAGCGTCTGTCCATGAGTGCACAAGCTGCGACGCCATATCCAGCCGCAACGCGTCCAGCTGGATCTCGGTGATGGTGAGATGGTTATTTGCTTGCGTCACAGATGCAGCGTCCGTGGCGGTACCGGCCGCCACCACCAACGTCTCCTTGGACTTGGTGTTGGTCGCTAGCGATGGACTTGGAAGACCAGCTGCAAGCATCGCGACAGCGTCGAATGTTGCAGCGCGGGCAAATTGACGGGCAACGCTCACGAGATCGTCCACGTCCGCAATACATGGTTTCGTTGGCATCGGGTCCGCGTCGGCCCGCTCGTCGGCGTTCATCGACGGCGTCTTACACGAGCCTTTACCCGGTTGGGTAGCAGCACTGCATGTCACCAGCGCAGCTTGCACCCAAGCGTCGACAGCGCGTGTGGCTGCAAGGGCGGTCGGGCACGTGCCAGAGATCTCGGCTTTGGTCTCGGTGAACGGAGTGGACTCGGTCGCGCATGCCTCGGGCTCGGGCTCGTCGCTGTACTTGGCGACAGACGGCAACGGCGCGCAGAGAACGCGGCACGCGGCATCGATGCAGCTTTGGGCGACCGTCGCCGCCAGAGATGCCACGTCATCGAGGTATTGCAGCGTCGCGAACGACCCCTTGGGCATACCAGCGCCGCCGGCAACAGCCTTTGCAGCGTCGGACGCCGGCACGTGCTGTGACGCGACGGTGGCATGAGCAATGGTAGCCACTGTCGTGGTCGCAACCGACAAGGCTGCATCGGTAACCCACGCGTGGACATGCTGTGTGGCGATCGACCTCACAGCTTCCGTCGATGCGTCTGTATTCAGATTCAAGACCGTCTTGACGTCCGAGGGGGTCGCCTCCAAATGCGATAGACGCTCAACCTCCTTGTCGACGGCGGCGTCGACGACAGTTTCTATTCTAGCACTCTTTGGCTCGTAGATTGCCGCATGCAGCCACGAACGCACGAGGTTGCCGGCCAAACGAGACGTTGCAACGTCGCGAGCGTGGTCCCTTTCGTCGGGCGCGTCCCGCGGTGTCGGTGGCAACGAGAGCAATGGCAAGGCCGGCGCCGCGCGGGCCACTTGCGGTACTGAGGCAATTGGCAGCGAAAAACACGCCACAAAGGTAAGTAGTTTGGCGACCGAGTCGTAGATCGGCGCGTCCCACGACGTCCAGACCACCGACGGCGCTCTCATTGGCTCGGTGGCGTCTGTGGTCGGCGGCACCTCGACGGTCGTTCCCAGCGTTGGGCCCATCTCTGGCTCCACCGCAGCGTCCATGGCCAACTCATCGATCGCAGTTTGGGCCGTCGCTTTGCTGCTGCCGGCGTCGGGTTGCAACGGAGATGCTTGGTTGAAAGCCGCTTGAACGCCGAAGTAGACGGCTTCCTCGACCATGGCGACGGCCACTGTCCGCACCGCCGAGCCGCGTGCATCTCCGCAAGCTAGTGCAGAAGCTGGCGGTGTCGCCGCGACCCCGGTTGTCGGCGGATATGTGAGAAAGGTGAAGAGTCGTGCAACGCTGTCGTAGACGCTGCGATCGGTTGGCGTCAGTGAAGCCCACACCTCAGACGGTGCAAGTACAGGTGCCGAGGACAAGGTCTCAGCGATGGGCACGACGTTGTTGCCACTGAGGAGTTGCCACAATGCGCTCTCACCGCCCTCGAAGAGCCAAGACCGCACAAGCGGTCCTGCCAAACG